TCTATGTGTAATAGTTTCTTGTTACACTGTGTGGATCGTGTGGTCAGTTTGTATCCATGTAATATATTTCTCCCAGATAATTTTGTGTAATCTTGTAATGTCTTTGTCAAGTCGTTCTGTGTTGTTCTTCATTAGGCGGTTGCTAAACGACAATTTGTAGAAAGGCACTCAAAAAATTTTATTGATATGACGTTATCTGAGAGTGCTAGATCTTTTCAGAGACCCTAGAGAGAAAAATGCATAGAAGTTAAGGTTTTCCCCGTCTATATGGTCCCCTAGTTGTATCAATTGAAATTACTGTTCGACGAATTTCCAAAAATAATCGACTGGCTGACGTTTAGACACTCCGTATGTTTTTCCTTGACATGTACTAAAAGATAGAAAATCTCAGAAGTGATTCACTCTGTTATCGCGCAAACGCAAAAATGAACATGTAACCAATGAACAATAAGATTCGTTATATTTGCTAAGCTTTATCAATTTTTCTTTTCTCACCTCAGTTTCGTCGTTACTACAGCTCTCACAAAGGACTGCATCAGTATCGACAAAAACATTTACACCGACACCAACATCAACTTTGGCATGGCTCACATCGACAACGCTATTTCCATCGTCATCAATAGATGASGGACTGACAGTGTCACCCTCACCATCATCATCGCCCACGTCATCGTCAAGAGACGAATGGACAATTGYCATTCTTMCRACGTCTGCATTAACATCATCGTCATCGCCCACGTCATCGTTAATAGTTGAAACAAACTATCCAACAGTTGATACAATGATATCGCCCTCGTCAACGWCTGACTACTTTTCGTCATCAACATTAGCACCAACCACCACCSTGTATAGSAGTACTGAAAGTATGTCTATTCTTAAATTAATTTAAACTCATTTAGCATGTGCAAAGCATTTCTCGCCAAGTCTTGTGCTGTCAATTTGGGATCGTTTTTACAACATCGCTTTGTTGTTGTCTAATATTCGTTATTTGCTTTCAGCACCAACCACACAGTTACCTACAACATTACAGCCCACAACAACATCATGTAAGTGACTTGCTAGACTATTTGCATTACAACTCTTTTACTGATGGTAAGGGTACTTGCATTATTATTTCATTGTAATTCCTTATATGTCTATGTGTAATAGTTTCTTGTTACACTGTGTGGATCGTGTGGTCAGTTTGTATCCATGTAATATATTTCTCCCAGATAATTTTGTGTAATCTTGTAATGTCTTTGTCAAGTCGTTCTGTGTTGTTCTTCATTAGGCGGTTGCTAAACGACAATTTGTAGAAAGGCACTCAAAAAATTTTATTGATATGACGTTATCTGAGAGTGCTAGATCTTTTCAGAGACCCTAGAGAGAAAAATGCATAGAAGTTAAGGTTTGCCCCGTCTATATGGTCCCCTTAATCGTTGTGGATATGCCCAATTATGCTCAATAGTCACCTTCACGGTTACCTGCGGCATCTTGAAAGGTAGACGTGCCTTTGCATCGAAGCGAGACGAACATTGATCAATTAGCCATTAAAAAGGGAGATCGCAGCTTCATTGATTGGTTGATAATATTCTAGTGGGTGAACAGTTCAATTTTAACAACACATGGTTTATTTCGGCAGATTACAGAACATCGTTAATGTGGCCGTGGGTATTCCTGCCTTTGTGTGTTATTCTTGTGATCGCTGGGATTGTGATTTGTTATCGAAAGACAAGAAGAAACGACAACTATTATG